CCTCCTCTGCCGCCGCCTCTACCTTTGCCGCCGTGTCCACCCCATCCTTTGTGGCCGCCGCCTCCCCATCCGTGACGTAGGCTTGCATCCACTTCACGCGCCTCTTCTTCTGCATTTCATAATTTTAATGTCATACTAGCTAATTCTAAATGAGCACCAAAAGAGAGACCAAATAATGCATATTGGATATATATATATGAATTAATCGTGTCTAAATTTTTGATTACCTTTAGCTTGAGTTGCTTCGGGCACCGCCCAAGCAATAACGAGGACAGAGATGAGCAAGAGACACGCAAGCAGAAAAGATTTGGACTTCATTTTTTCTTCTTGTTGATCAGTTGGATGGAAAAATAATAAAAATGCTCAGCAGCTGGAACTGGGAATTGTGATTCTCCATTTGGATGGTGTATTTATTTATAGTGTTGGGAGCGGTGTTAGATTGCGGTGAGAGTGTTCGAAATCTTATCACTTTGGTTTGAATGGAAGAAGGAGGTGGAGAGTTTAGGGTTCATGTTTGTGGCAACTGGCAAACTAAAGCTGCTTTCTTTTGCCAAGTGTCTCCTCTTTTGACTTATTTGACTCCTCTTCCTCTTTTCTTGTCCTCAATAATGTTCTGCTTTCGTCGTTTCTTCATTTTTCAAAAGTATTTTAATATTTAATATTTCTTCTATTTTCTATGTTTCTAGAATTTAGATTCTTATTTTTTATTTTCTAGTTCTTATTATCACGAATATTAAATTGAATTAAAAAAAAATAAGAACTCTACCTAAAAATTATTTTATTTTGTACCTTGAAAGATGGTACACTTTCAATTCCTTGGTGAAGTCTTAAGTAGGCTGGTCAGCAGTATTGTAAGCTCGAACTAACGAATTTCAATTATAAGAATCCAAGTGTGAGACATAACATATTGATTCCGAAAAATCAAAAAAGATTATTTTAATATTTTTTCCTTTTATAGATAAAAACTATAAGATAATACTTTTGTTTATATGTTTTTGGAAAATAAAAAATAAAAAGTGAAAAAATTTACAAATAATTTTGGGAATGGTACTTTTGTCAGGCGAGAAATTTCACTAGATAATAATTACCTCTGGATCTAGTAGATCGTTCAATTTTCAATTTTATATCTAATAAATCTATAAATCTTCAATTATGTATCTAGTGGGTCTATATAATTATAAAAAAACAAACGACTTTTCTCATAATAATTTAATAATTGCTTCATCATAATCGTCTACATTGACTTGCTTTTACAGATATGACATTTGAACCATCTCTAAACTAGAGTAGGTTCACTTAGCCTCCAATATTGTATATTTTTTACATACTTTTTAAATGAATCGTGCTATGGTATCTTTAAAAAAAAACAAAAGAAAAAATAAATCAATAAATTTTAAAAGTGTCTAAATAGTAACCTAATTTAACATTCCTTAAAACTTAAGAGACAAAAAATCAAATTTAGTATATTTATAAATTTTAGAAAACGTTCAATAGCTAAAGATTTTTTTTTTGTTAAAAAAAAAGGTTATCTATTAAAACACACCCTTGAAATTTAATGATTGTGAAGACTTAAATGAAAAGAATTCAATACACATAGGACAAAATTAAAAGTACTTTTAAAGGATTGGAGACCATTAATGACTCAAATACATATTTAATCAATTTTGAGCATTTTATTTCAAAGCTTCCCTTTCGGCTTTTCACCTTATAGGTTAGATTAATATAACCGAAGACAGCACAGTAATAAAAGTATCTATTTCTTATAAATATTTATGATTCCACCACAAAATTAATTGACAAAGAAAGGAATAATTTACTTATATTATAAATATTTATTAGGTACTTATATTTTCAATATGAGATCTTTTAACATGCCCCTCAAGATGACGTTTCTTTTTAAGTTCAACAGTCTTGACTATCAATATTCACGGGTTCCATCTCAAAACTAATTCACGATAAGAGAAGTAGCTCATTTATATTATAACTCTTAGTTAAATCCCTTATCTTAACGGCATGTTCTCAAGATGGTGCCTCTTTTGGGTTCACCAGTCTCGGATCAGATTCTACTTTTAGACTGGATGCTCGTTTGAGCTTTTGGACTTTGATACCATATCAATATTCATGATTCCATTTCAAGACTAATTGACAATGAGAGGGGTAGTCCACTTATATTATAAACTCCTATTAGATCCCCAATTATCTTATCAATGTGAGATTCTTAATATTGATCGGATCTCATTTTTGAACCAGATGCTCGTTTGAATTTTTAGACTTTGATACCATATTAATATTCATGAATATCAACAAGGAGTGTAAATAAGTCTAGCATACTTTTCATTAACCAGCGAGGGATATATAAATATACCCAGAGGTTACAACAACCCCAATTCACTTAACTACCAGAACTAATGTACTAATTCAAACTCTAATAATAATGCATTCCATCTCAAAGCAATACATCTCAACCTATGTAGTACTAAAATTCTAAATACGCAAATATTTTTTTTATTTTATTATTATTATTATTATTATTATTATTATTATTATTATTATTATTATTTTGTAAAAAGAGACTTCATTGAATGTGACAAAAAAAAAGGAAATCTATATAAAAACACTCCAATTAAGAGATATAGTAGATGAATCGKAAGTAAAAAAAGATTAGATTTTGTAGATCAAAAAGAAATAGTGACTGTAATGTCCTCCCAAATGTTGGTTGTAGTCTTCTAAAAACCTGTAAATGATCGGTTATTTTTTTCTAACCAAATATACTCAAGAATAGCACTCATAACATTGCTCCATAATACAGATTTCTGACTAGAAAAAGGAATGCTAAGATTATCTGTGATGAAGGAATCGACTTGACAATGAATAACACTTCGGACTTAAAAAATGTAGAAGACGAGGCCATAAACTTACAGTAAAAGGGCAATGAAAGAAAATATGGTCCAAAGTTTCTGAGTTGCATAGTGGACACCAAATATTTCATAACTAGTGAGATCTTCCATTTGCATTGCATGCAGATCCTTATATGTGTATTTATTTGGATTCGATCTAAAACACTATTTATTATCTTTGATTTGATTTCCCCTTATTTTGCCTAATTATTTGTTGGCACATTATGTTGGGTACCCTACACCTACCAAATTAAACACATAAAACAGCCTTCACTGCTCATTTCCCGCCTTAATTTCGCTACTACAAAATATGGAATAGACTACACTAGCATTTAGACATTCAACTACGCTTTTTAAAAAATTCGTAGTCTAATGTTCAAGAAATTAGTGTAACCGTAGTCTAAAAAAATGCACGGACGTATAGACTACGGTTTTTAGCAATCATGGTCTAACAATATATAATAGACAACAACTTTAAATGGAAGAGTAGTCTAAAATCCTACTTTAGACCATGGAGGTAATAACCGAGCTAGGTCTATACATTCGTGTATTGATCATCTTTTGACTATGGTTGTAGTATAAAACTCCTCTTTACACTACAGTCCAAAAAAACCATGATCTATTACTTTTGACTACGAGTATGGTCTAAAATCCCCCTTTACACCATGGTAAAAAGAATCGTAGTCTATAGACTAAACATTAGTTGAATTTAACTAGACCACGAGTTATTAACATCATGGTTGAAAATTCAAATGTCCTCCACGACGAATAAAAATTGTGATCTATAGATTAAATATTGTTAATATTTAAATCACTGGGTGTAGACACCACCCAACTTAGTTTTTATTAAATTAAAAAAAATGAAGAACTAATAAAATCTAATTTAAAAAATATTTGTGGTTTTTAATAAAAAAGAATGAAAAAAAGAATGAAAAAATAATGGAAATTTTAAAATTGAATTTCAATCAATTTTTTGTTTTTATTTTTTTAATAGAACAAGGGGTGGTGAGATTCAAACTTATGATCTCTTGGTCAGAGATATGTTCCAATAACAGCTAACCTAAATTAATGTTGCTTTATAAAAATTTTGATTTTAAAAAGAATATAAAAATAAATTTAAAATAAGATTTTGAAATTGGTTTTGATTAATGCAAATGTTTAAATTAAAGATTAAGAAATCGAATTTAGATCTAATTCCTAAATCCATTGATTTAGATGTACCAATATTATTAACCGAAGTTGAAAAAAGAATGGAGGAAAAGAGAAGGAAATTAGAATTTTCTACTTATTTATCTTCTCTTTAGACTTTCTTCTTATCGCTTCAAACCCTAGCCTCCATCATCCTTTTCATCATCTTCTTCAATCTCCATCATCCTTTCGCTACCGCACTCCGGCGACTTTCAACAGTAGGTCCGGCGACTCCAACGACTCCCTACAGTCAAGAATTTTCATCAAATCTGAAGATTTCGTTGTGGTTTCCAATTGCGGAAGCGCATAAGACCGATTTAAAAAAGAACGGAAAATAGTTTTAGTTTGCAATCAATTATAATTAGGTTTTTCCTCGTCTCTATATTTTTGTAAATCATACCAATTATTTTCATTATTACTGAACAAGAAATTATTTATATGTAATGTTCTTGAATGAAGATGATTTAGAATGTGGCTCATACTTCTCTGTAAACTTCATTCTCTTTTCTTGGGAGCGTTTCTAGTGATGGGTCATGTAGCTGTAGTCAATGGTTGATCACTTTTTCATTTCACCTTTTTCTTGTTATTTTTTGGAAGTCGGCAAGTTACTATATTCCAATGGAAATTCAAAGAATGTAGTAACAATTTATTAAAATTTATAATTATGTACAGAACATGTCATATTGAAAGTATAGCCCACCACATTAGAATAGTTATTAATTTGTTTTTTTTAACCGTCGTCTATTATAGATTATGGTTGACATTGGTCCTAGACTACGGCCAACGTCAATCGTGGTATATACTATTATAAACTATGGTTGACATTAACAGTAGTCTATACTATTATAGTCCACAAATAACGTTGTCTAGACTACGACTAACGTTAGACTATGGTCTGTCGTAATATACTACATATGTACACATGGTCATAGTCTAAACCAATTTTTGTAGTAGTGTTTCATTCGACTCTTTTTCCGTCTTCACCCGCTCCCTTTCTGTTGCCGACAACTCCGTTGGTCTCCACTTCATTCCCTTTCACTGCATTCCCTGCAAGTACAAACGTACAAAATTTCATGTTAGAACTACTATATCCCACTATTATTATATACATAGTATACATTTAATGTTGTTATATACTTTCAAGTGATATCGGTAAATCCAACTAAATTCAAGTTGAGCTAATTGGTTAAGGTATCTATTTTCGATCAAAAGATCGTGAGTTCGAATCCCTACCTCCAGTACTCAAAATAGTAATAGTAATAACAAAACCAACTAAATTAAAAATGATGTGAGTTGCAACCAGT